CTTCTTGGGTCCTTTCAAGACTTGTCAAAGAAAACAGAATGCTAACCTGACTTTAAAGGGGCAAAAAAACTCCCCACCCCCCTGCTATATTATTCTTTGTTCTCTATGTGCATCAAAGTGACAATCCCACACTGTCTCAATTGAGGGAGTCTAGCACAAAAATGAAAAACAGCCTGGCACTGTTATAGGCTTGCAGCCAAAATGTTTTGTGTAGCTTGGTTCTGGCAGTGGTTTTTTTTAAGGCAGAGGGTCTACCCTTACAGCATCATTGAAGGAAGGCAGACAGCCTTAGTTGTTCCTACTTATACCATTTCTTTCCCCTCCGATCTTCCTCTTTCTTCATGCAGACCACCATTGTGGAAAAAAATATATATATATTTTGAAATAGATACAGCATTCTCCTTACAACTTCTACATTTAGTGAATGGCTTTGTTCCTTGTAGAAGTGAGTGCTAAATTTGCCTTTTCCACTATCTTAGAGATCTCCTTACAGTTGCATTTTTGCTACACTTTGCAAAAAGCCTTCTGAGTATTGCTAACTTTGGTCATGTTGACATAGTATTTTTGATTGGTTGGAATTCTGTCTGCTTCATAGCTTATTTGAACACTTTTGAGTAATATTTGCTTGCATTATATGGATTTTTATGCTGTGATATCTCTTGTTGAGACCCAAAAGTCTGCCATTGTTTTCTCTTTTTGCCTTAAACTCAGGGCCAGTTCATGTCTTTTACAAATTGAATACTCATTTTTAGAATGTCTAAGAGTTGGTAGATAAGCAAGGGAACATCCATTAAAATAAAGATGTGCACTTATTATTTTTTCCTTTGAATCAAAATGTGAGGTAAAACACAGAAGTGTTTTTAAGTTTCACAGTTCTCACTAAATTATTGTTAGTGACCTACTGAAGGAGTGTGAAAATGTGGCAGAATTAGTTTTAAATGGAGATGATTTGAGTAGGAGACTAGATTTTCACTATGAGCAAGCGTTCTGTGAGATTTCATAGAATGTTCTTCAAAATATAAATGTGTTTTCTGTTGTATTAAGCAAAAACAAATGATTTACTTTAAAGTGATATATTTACAAATTAGCGTTTTGCAATCAAGATAAGAATAGTTCAATAGGTGGAATTTTTTTAGGGGAGATATTATTTTGACTGATTTTTTATTTAAAAATTGTCTGATTTTTGGCAATAAGAAAATTACTTTGGGAGAAATAAACTCATGTATTTTTGTAACAGTGTAACAAATGTGACTAAAAAGAAGGCGGACAGTGGTTTGTGTTAGAATTATTAATGTGAAACATCTTTATATGCCATATATAATGGGAAATATGTTGATTATAGATACTTAAGTTAAAATAGTGCAACCTAACAGTTTTGTTCCAGAGTATTTATTTTTAATTTAGAAAACGCTTTAAAATTATTAAAAAGATTTGTAAAACACGGGTATATCAGAAGTATGCATTAAGTAAACTCACCTGTTACTGACTTTCATGCAAGACAGGTTTGACAACATATTGCTTCAGTGTTTTAGCAGAGCAAACATATATTCAAGTTGATTTGTATTTATAATGCACATGTAAAAAATGCCATGATTTCCCATTTCCCCTAATGCTGTCTTTTAAAAACTTGTACTTAAGTGGCTTTTTTTCTTCAAAAGTGCTAAATTAATCTGGGTGGGATACCTGTGAAATTGCATTAATTAAATCTTTAGGTCAACATTTTAAGCTGAATTTGGACAATTTTGAGAAAGAATGCCAGTGAAACTTCTTATCTCTTAATCTAATTAAGTTCATAACTGTTTGTGTTGAATTCCCTATGCCAAGATCTGATAATACTAGAATCGGAGAGTAAAGATAGCACACACAAAAACCTCCTTCATTCTGTATGTTCACATATATTGAATAATATTTATTGCTTATTAAGTACTATTCCTTGACTTTAAATACATCTTCTGCAGTGGTATAATTTTTATTTGCAATTGAGCCCTTTATTTTTTCTGTGATGGGAATATATCTTTCATTATCTTAGGAAATACAACATTAATTGTCTTATTTCTTTTCTTTGTTTATTCTAACTAAATGCAGAGGCATAGGAGAAATATATTTAAGGATCATAATGTTTGAGTAATTTTTGATAAATGCTGTTGTTTTTCATTTTTGTAGGCAATAAATTCTATAGTTTTAATCAGAACACATAGCAAAGCTAGTATATCTTTATAGTTTGATATTATATAGTTTTCAGCAATTATTATACTGTAACTTAATAATTATATTTGTAGAAACATGTGAAAACAACTGTATTAAGTGATATCAGCCAAACTGAATAAACACTAAGTTTATCACTTTAACTAGGATTTTATTATATTAAGTTAATAATTATAGCTAGTATTTTATTTCATTTGACTATCAGTATAGCTTTCAAATATAACTCTTGGGTAGATGATTTGAATGTCATGTTTGACATCGAATATTGGTAACGTAATAACAAATAGTGTTTCTAAGTTTGTGTGGTCAAAAATATGAGTAATCCTCCTTTAAGCATATGTTACATACTTTAATGTCAAATTCAATAGAGTATTGCATGAAAGAGTATATGTTAATTCAGTTGTTTGATTTTTCCTCCTAATTTTTGATACATTTTAATTTTCCCCACCCCCTGACATACTATCATTCTGCAGAATACTTTTACAAGTATTTCGTATGTTTTTCTGTGGCATCTCACACTGCTCACTTTTTATCTATAGTACCATATGAGTTCCTCCTTTTCAGGTTTACGCTGCATATTTTAAGCTGCTGATAGTGTAAGTAGATTGCAAGGTAAAGTGACATTTAGCTTTTTAAGCTAGTCTCATTTTTAGCATGAGAACAGGTTTTTTTTTTTTTCTGTCCTACATCTTCTCATATTTCCCCTTAAAATAGTCTTACTAACATTGAACAAAGAAATTCAGGGATTTGGCTAAAGCAGCAATTGAATGCATCAAAAAGTGGCTACTACAATACAATTTTATTAATGAATGATCTGCATTGGTTCCAGCTGTGTCCATGTGATTAGGCCTTCACCAGGCAACAATGGGTATTTCCCTATTGCTTTTATTTGATTTCCAAGAATGTGTCATCTGTTACATCAGTCTCTGCCAATATGCCCCCGTAAAAGTGTTTTTTTTCCCCTTCTGAATTTCTGAAGCATAAGTTGAATACCCACACGTAGCCCTGCTGAAATATTGTTTCTATTGAATAGTGGCCTAGATTTGTATGCCTGGTGTTACATACCAAAAATCTCAGAATATAAATTAAAGTAAATGTTGATTAAGTTTATCAGTAAGTTTTCAGAATGTGGTTGCCTGTAATGCTAAAGATAGATTATTTTAGCTTTTACGTTTCCATCTTAATATTTTATTACAGTGGTATAATGTGTTATAGAGGTGGACAAGCTTGCAGATTGAAGTGGGGATCGTCCAGATTGTTCCCTTCCCTGGACCATATGGTATAGTTCTAAAAGCCTTTTGTACGCTGTCTGTTCAGTTTATTGTAAACTCATTTAGAACACCTAAAAAGATAACCAAATAAAAGTGAGCCTGAGAAAAAGGACCACATATCATGTAAGGACCTCAGATATATGTATTTTAAAGGATAAATGCAAATGAAATTGAAGTTGAGATGATATTCTAAACAAGAGAGACTTGTCATTCTCTGGATATTCTTTTGAGATCATGTGGATTGTTGTATATCATCTTTGAATACTGGTTTTAAAATGAAAGCATTTATCTGACTTATTTAAATCCCATTCTTGTAATCTTAGGAAGAAGAGGATGCAGCTTTTATCTATTTTACAGAGGAATACTCTACCTATGAATAATGCTGAGGAATATATAAACTACAGGTTTTATGCATATCTAGTTTTTTCCCCCTAATCTCAGTGAGATAACTTTGAGTATTTTTAACCTTTTAGCTTTTTATCTGTATTCAGAGAGAGTTGAAAATTTTTTAAGTCTTATTTCTTTTCCTTCTCTCCGCCCCGACCTATTATGTTTCTATAATTCTATTTTAGGAAAATAGGATAAGAGATTGCTTATCCCATATGCTAAGATTCTTTAGAAACTGGAATGAGTGATTTCTCCTGACTCTCACTCTCCTTCTCTCCAAAGTAAGCTACTGTTAGAGAAGAGCATTAGACATTACCCACTGCTTTTTGGCACCAGAGATTTGAAGTTGAAATTCTACCAAATGGAGGGCGGGGTGGGGGAAGGAGAGCCTATGAAGAACATGATTCTTTACTCTATCATTACCCTGAACCACTGAAAGGGTAACTGAGAGGAACTCAAATGTTATTGGAATGTGTAATTTTCCTTTGAATGGCCACAGTAAAATATATTTGAACAAAAAAGGCAGAAAAAGTATATGGAATTGATGGTGATTGAAATTAATGAATCTTTTCAACACTGTGCAATAGAAATTATCCCAAGAACACTACATATTTACAATTTGTCTAAGAGAAATATACATAGAGAACGAGTATTACCTAGGGAGACTACTAGAGAATATTACAATAATAGAATAATACTAGTGGTAAATTGGACACAAAATATTTGTTGGGATATACATTCTTCAAGTTTGAAAAATTCCCAAAAAAGAATCACCAATTTCAAGTGTGTGTTGAAATCTGATATATTTTGTGATCTTTTGTTTATTCTGAAACTACTTTCTAAAATATTCACAAAATTGAAAAACATTTTTTATACTTTCAGATAAGTTAGGTCCCTACTTCCTTCTCTCTCTTTTCCTTTTTTCCCTAACATTTAGCTATTTATTTATATGTGTATATTATATACATACCATACTGTAGACCAGGGGTCCTCAAACTACAGCCCGCGGCCACATGCCGCCTGCTGAGGACATTTATCTGGCCTACCAGGTGTTTTTGCCTCCGCTGCCTGTCCTGCCTAGCAGCCGACGTGTCCAGGCCCACAGTGCACATGTGTGGAATGTGCGGCGCACTCTCCACTCTCCTTCTCTCTGTCTCTCGACGACTCCTCTCAGTCTCGGATCCCACGAGTTATGAGCTTGCCTGTGCACAGCCTGCTGCTACCTGAGGACCGAGGTAAGAACAAGTTAGGATTTTTTTTTTTGAAGTTAGGAGGTCTATTTTTTAAAAAATTTTGCAGTTAGTAGGACCTTTTTTTTTTTTTTTTTTTTTTGCGGTTAAGGGGGGCCTTTTTTTTCTGAAGTTAGGAGGTCTATTTTTTTTTTTTTTTGCAGATGGGGGCGCCTTTTTTTTGAAGTTAGGAGGGCCTTTTTTTTTGAAGTTAGGAGAGCCTTTTTTTTTTTTGAAGTTGGTTAGTTGGTTGGGGGTGGTTTCTAGGGGGGTTGCATCACAGTGATAACGCAAATAGTCAGCGCTCAGTGCTAATGCAAATGGTTTTTTAAACTATAGTCTGCCCCTCCAGTGGTCTGAGGGACAGTGAACTGGCCCCCTGTTTTAAAAGTTTGAGGACCCCTGCTGTAGACAAATATTGTCTTACAGATTTGGAGGATTGAAGGTCCCAGTTAAGAAAAATGAGAACAATGTTGTAATGACTGTGCAACAAATGGATTTCCATGGAGGAATTTTACCATATTTATTAAAGTAATCCAGATTACCAAAAATTGTAGAAGTGCAAATTCAAAATTGTTTCTATTTCCTCTATCTAGAAAGTACTGAATCATAGTCTAAATCAAGGAAAGAGGAACTATAGGTAGTGTAATTCATTTTTTTTTTTTTTTTTTTTTGAGTTGGAGTCTCATTCTGTAACCCAGACTGGAGTGCAGTGGCTGCTTCCGGCTACCGCAGCCTCGACCTGCTGGGCTCCGGCGATCCTTCCGCCTCAGCCTTCCAAGTAGCCGGAATCACAGGCATGCGCTACCACGCCCAGCTGATTTTTTGATTTATTGTAGAGATGAGGTCTCGCTGCCCAGCGGGTCTCGAACCCGCGGGCTCAGGCAATCCACTCACCTCAGCCTCCCAAAGGCGCGGGATTACAGACTGAGCCACCGAGCCCGGCGTAATTCATTTTTAATTCCTCTTTTAATGGTAAAAATACCTCTGACTTCAAGTAGTAGAAATCTTACAATGATTTAAATGAGTATGAACTTTATTCTCTCTCTTTTTCTCTCTCTTTCTCTTTCTCTCTCTTTTTTAAGTTGGAGTCTCATTCTGTTACCCAGGCTGAAGTGCAGTGGCACGATCACAGCTACGACAGCCATGACCTGCTGGGCTCAGGTGATCTTTCTGCCTCAGCCTTCCAAGTAGCCAGAACTACAGGTGTGAGCTACCATGCCCGGCTAACCTTTTGATATGTTGTAGAGACAGGGTCTCACCAAGTTGCCCAGGCAGATCTGAACCCCTGGGCTCAGGCAGTCCTCTTGCCTCAGCCTGCCAAAGTGCTGGGATTACAGCTTGAGTCGTCATGCACAGCTGCGAATTTTTTTTGATTTATTGTAGACCCCCTGGTCTCAGTCACTCCTCTCCTTTCTGCTTCCCAAAGTGCTGGGATTACAGATGTGAGCCACCATGCTGGGCTTTATTTTATCATAAGAAATCTGAAAGCAGTTCGTTCACAAGTAACAGTTGCCATCAGGGATCCATGTAACAGCTTCCTTCTCCACCATACTTAGCACCTAACCTTTGTCTCTTACTTAACTGATGATGTTTGCATCTCTAGAACTTGTGCTTACTTTTAAGTAGGAAAAAAAACAATGGGAGAACTCAAAAGCTTTCTTCTCATGGGTATTTTGTCATTTTCTTTAGAATGGAATGACTGCAAATATATGCTCATAGAGGATTTCTGACACAGTTATTGGCCAAAAGTGTGTCACATAACTACTTATCTAGGAAGGACTGGATCATAGTCTAAATCAAGAAAAGAGAAGCTATAGGTAGTGTAATTCATTTTTATATTCTCTTTGAATGGTAAAAACACCTCTGACTTCAAGTAGTAGAAAATCTTACTGACAATGATTTAAATGAGTGAGAGTTCTTTCTCTCTCTCTCTCTCTGTCTCTCTAAGTTAGAGTCTCATTCTGTCACCCAGGCTGGAGTGCAGTAGCACAATCAGCCGTGACAGCCATGACCTGCTGGGCTCAGGTGATCACATAACTTCTAGAATGAAATAAAAAGTATTTTTAGCATTCCAGCCTCTATTTTGGAGAATGGGGGCTGGAATGGGTGCTGCGTGAACCTTCCTAAAGTTATCTGCTGTACTTCCTCAATTCATTTGTGTAATTAGTTGTTTGGACTGTTGAACTCTCTGGGTACTGGGTATACATAGTAACTTGCTGTTGGTTCTCTTGTATACCCAGTGAGTATGTGTTGTTTTTGTAATATTATGTTTCTGTGTCTGAGGACAGGAACTGTAATCAACTCATCTTGATATCTTTACATTTAATGAAGTGCCTACATGTCAACCCTCAATAATTACTTCTTGAATGAATGAATGAATATTAAGAAATATATTTGTTAATATTATTGGTATAAATCACTTATACACTTAAAGAGTACAGTAGTATTTTTCCTTTGTGAGAGGGTGTGTGCTAAATTTTGTAGAGTTATTTATTATTGTTAAGGTGATATTAGTGTAATGATGTAAAAGTTGTTTTGAGTAAAAGGAAAATCCTCAAAATGGCTTCATACCAGTGCTTGTTGGGAGCAAGTTATTCCATGAGTAATTAAGAAATATGATTGCAGTTTAACTCTATGAAGAGACTGTAGTTTAAACAAAGATATTTTATTGCACTCATCTATTAAGAGTTCAGTTTTTGAAGAAATAGGAAATTTGAATTTATTCATAAAGCAAATGGGTCATTTGATTATTTATATTATTGATGTTGATTTATAAGAAGGAGTTATGAGATCCTTCCTTAATAGCCTCATGTGGCTAAGGACATACTAAATCAGATTTTATATTAGGTACATCTGGTTGCTTTGCTCTTGAATGTTTTAGAAGAAAGCAGTCTGTCTCTTTGTTCAAAATCTGCAGAAGAAATGGCTCAGAATGTAACAATATTGTGTTTTCATTCAGTTTTTGTTATTTGACCTCAAAGGACAAAAATGAACAACTGTCCACTATATTCCATAAAACATCGCCTATGTAACACCATTTTAATGAATTCCTCCCTTTTCACTCATGATGGCAGGGTGATTGGTACCTTAATTATTAAAACAGCCTGTGCATGGATAGAACTTATTTCAAAGCAGAGAATGTATTCAAGTGTCTGAAACTCAAATTTTCTATCTTAGCAGTTTATAGTTACTAAGAATAAAGGAAACTCTTTTAGCATTCAAAAGCAGTCCTGGAATTAGAGTTCCTACATAAATCACAAAGTAGGCAAAAAAATTTCCTAGATTTTAACTTAGAATTGAGTATTGGTGGTTTCCTTTGATCCTTAAGCAGAACTTTTGGTCATACTTTTGGAAGTAATAAAGACCAACACTTTGCATTTTAAAATATT